AGACTGACATAGTTCGCAGTGGCTAATCGGCGCCCACGCCGACGATGGACTCCTGTAAGGGTTCGAAAGCTCAGAATAATAAAAAAATCTATCCGGTGCTCGACCATCCTTTTCTTTACCCATGAAAATACCTGGGACCCGAATGTTCTCCTTCAATCATCCCTCGCTTTATCGTGCTTTAATATTCGTGGCTGCACCCAAGCACATACTTTATATACGAGCATAGCTAAATGCATTCCATAGAATTTTCATTAGTCTGTAAGTTTCTACGAGAAAGGGCCTTTTTATCTGGCACATGCTTTCTAAGTTAGTATACCCAGTTTATTTCATACACATGACGCTATCTGCGGGTGCATTGGTGACCCCATCGGTTTTCTTGAGAGGCACCTTGAATCATTTGCATGAATATGATAATAAATGGCGAACACTCCCACTAAAAGCCTTCCAGTTAATCGGAAAAATGATGCCTTGCCTTTGCACGCCACCTCAAACTGTGTCTATGAATTCACTTGCAGTTGCGGATGCAAATTCGTTGGCCGTACGCAAAGGCAATTGGCAACCAGGACAGCTGAACATTTACCAAATTGGCTTTTTAAACAAGAAAACAAATTGCCACGGTCCTCCATTACAAAACACCTGCTAGACAGTGGTCACTCTTTTGACGTCAAAACATCTTTCCGAGTTCTTGTTCGAGCACGAACAAATCGGACCTTGCGCTACATGGAAGCAGCCTATATACGGCGGGAAAATCCCGACCAATGTAAGCGGTTAGATCATGTGTCTAGTCTCCGACTGCCCTGGTAATCGCATGCCTACATTCAATCAAACTTTTATTTTTGTTAATTCACGTCCCTATTTTTCCTTTGCATGTTTAAAGCTGACATTATTATTGACTATTCGCTGCGTTGAAAAATGACCTTGCTGTTATTGATTCCGTGAAAATTTGAAACTGCCGTGTTCTCCATTTGTTATCTCATTCATGCAAAGATAGGAAGCAGCTGACAAGCTGTACAAATAAATCCTACGGTTTTTAGTATTCCGACATAGAGAGGCAGACCACAGTATAGCTATTTCGGGCTATTGGCCCTCATCAGCTACGGGCAGCCAATTCTAGCTAGTAACATATCAATTATTAGTAGCTTTGCGAAACATACAATCGGTTGGACCGAGTCGCAAAAGCATCAATCCAGGATGGGCACATCGTGAGAGATAGATCGGTATGCAAACAAATACTAAATCCTACTGTGTTCGCTCGTTTTAAATTTGTATCTGCTTTAAATCATATAAATACCCACCAATAATGGTACCAATTTTGGAGTCGCTGAGGACAAGAAGACGGTAACTCGGAGGCTTCTTGGAAAACTTGCACCCCATCAGCATCAAAGTGACTAAGCCGGAGATCCATAGCTTCCAGAGAGGTTAGAAGACAACTGAAGAACCATCCTGGGTTTAAGAGTTCCAAGAAATAGCCGAAGTGAGCATCAAACATTCTGTCAGAAGAAATGACTTAACTCAGTCTTATTTGCAATTACTTCCTAGCAATGCGTTCAATACGATGATCCTCAGAGAAAAAATATCTATAAGCATTCGCGTTAAACTGATCCATATTTTAGCGGTAATATGGAGACGTGGAGTAACGTATCATTTGCAGCAAGAAAAACAGGTCCTATCGTGTATATTTAAGTACCTACTATAGCAATCTCAAAACTACCGTACAGAAAGCGGTAAGGATTTATAGTGGGGTTCCCACAGTGCGCGTGAAGCACGCTCCACTCCAATACTGGAAACTAGGTTTAGGGGGTAGAATGGGTGGGGCGTATCGGGGAACAATTCAGTGCGCAATAA